GGTGTATATAAGATGTTTACAGTGAGACTAATCTAATCAAAATAAATGTTTAGATTATTTAGAAGAATTCCTTCTCGTGACTGTTTACAGTTCACTGAGGTATTTAATATTATTTTCTGGTTTAAATGTATATTTTGGAAATAATATAGTGTTGGTCCATCTGCTGGGGGACAGGTCTAAATGTGGTGGTATCCTCCTAACTGGTATTGGTGCATCTACACAGCCACAATGTTAGGTTGAACCAGAATAAAGGTATTCTTTTGTGTTAAATCATCATGTTCTTGTTTACTTTAAGCAGTTTCCACAGCTTTAGAATTGGTGATGTGTGGTTCTTCTAATTTTTGCGAGCTTTATTTTGATTACTTTAAGGTCTTTTGGAGGCCCAGTTTATTTGTGTAATTAGTACAGGAGTTGTTGGACTGCCTCAGTACCCCCTCAGGGTTAGGCTACAGAAACAACTGGAACGGTCCTGATAAGGATAGAAATACAAAGTTGTGTGTGATGTTTTGGCTGCAGGCTGAAGCAGACGAGCTACAGCTCCGCCCATTTCTTCAAGGAGCCACGTTGTCTGTCCTGGAATGCTCCTGGAGTGACCTCTGACCCCCTTCGGTGTGAACCAGAATGCTGACTGTGACGTCACGGCCGTGGTCTGCATTATCACACACAGATCACATCATCATCATCATCATCATCACACAGTCAGGCGGTTGAGCTGGACGGTTTCCAAGAACTCATTACTCCAGCGGTGCATTCAGTGTGTCCAAGTTTGTTACACAGAAACAAGCAGCTGAGCTGTTTATAGTCGGGGTTTCTGCTTTTTTTTTTTTTACTGCAAGACACAACTCATGTGATCCTTCTTGCACAAGACTTTTGGACCAAGAGCACAATTCCATCAGACACACATGTCATGGAAATATTTTACTTTCTGAAACCATAAAATGACAGCGTGTCCCACTTTTCTGTGATTTTACACACATTTCTTTATTATTCTATAAAGCTGAGTAAGAATGCGTCGGTTACGTTTGTAAATGACTCCAGATGTGTGTAAGTGTACAATCTCTAAGACGTCTAATTAAACGTTGCAGATAAATCTGTAGGTCATCAGCGAAACAGTGGATCACATCAGCCTGAATCTGGGCCACACTAACTTCTCACATTCAGCTGATGAACTCAGTGTTTCAGTGGTAAAACTCTGATTCAGTATTTTGATCTGCTGCCGGAGGACCTCAGAGGATCATAAAGTGTGGTGGCTGTACGTTAAACTGGGCTTTGATTGCCGGAGGCCGCCTGTGACCACAGACACACCCTGGTGTTCGCAGCTGGACAGTATTTGTGTACATTATGTACCCGTCTTCATCTTCACTGCCTGAGAGCGGCATGTTCACACCCATTCTACAGTGAGCTGAAGTCGGAGCACATGTACTGTATGTAATCTGTTATTAAGCCTAACCCATCGTCTGATCCAGACTATCACACACTGAATGGGGAATATTTCAGTTAGTGTTTCTGTGTGTTTGTCATGTTAGCAAAATGTGTCATGAAACCCAAAAAACAACTCAAGATGGCCACCAGAGTCAACTAACAGTAGACAACACTAAAAACTGTTCAGTTTTGTAAACTGTGATGCTGATCTAAAATTTAGTGTGGTGGGCAGGACTGGCTCGTGGCATAGGCAGTACAGGCAAATGCTAACGGTGCTGTCCATGTAGGGGACGCCACACAAGGGAGATGAAAACAATATTCCATAACTTTTTATCGGAGTAGCTGATTCAGTCTGTAGAATAATCACTGGTAACTCAGGTTTATGAAGGTAACTTGTTCTGTGGGTTTCTCAGCTGCTTCGTTTCTACAAAGTATATGATGCAGTCAAGACTAACTGGTCAGCTCAGTGTGTAGAAACCAAAATAAGAATAATGGAATTTTCAGTGATGATCTCTGATAAAGTTCAGGTTAAAGTCTAGTTTTCAGCATTCTCCCTTCATAAAATATTGATGTGATGTCTTTTTAATCCCCAAAATGTAATAAAATGCTTTTCAAATGGCTGAAAAGGGAACAGATTTGAGTAGCTCTTAGCAGGAGGAATTGTCCGTTTTAATTTGACAACCTGGTTTCTAAAGATAAAAAATAATATCAAAGACAAAACTATTTAATTTGATATGTGAATGTACAGGGGTTAGACAATGAAACTGAATCACCTGTCATTTTACTGTGGGAGGTTTCATGGCTAAATTGGACCAGTCTGGTGGCCAGTCTTCATTAATTGCACATCGCACCAGTAAGAGCAGAGTGTGAAGGTTCAATTAGCAGGGTAAGAGCACAGTTTGGCTCAAAATATTGCAATGCACACAACATTATGGTGACATACCAGAGTTCAAAAGAGGACAAATTGTTGGTGCACGTCTTCCTGGTGCATCTGTGACCAAGACAGCAAGTCTTTGTGACGTATCAAGAGCCACAGTATCCAGGGTAATGTCAGCATACCACCAAGAAGGACCAACCACATCCAACAGGATTAACTGTGGACGCAAGAGGAAGCTGTCTGAAAGGGATGTTATGGTCTAAAACCAGGGGTTTCAGTTTCATTGGCTAACCCCTGTATGTAAACTGGCAGTGAAATTTAGAGGATTGCACAAGAGGCACCACCTGAAATCTTGACTGGGGCGCCCAGTTGGCAAGGGCCGGCCCTGGTGGTGGTAGTCTACTTCTGAACATTTGAACTGCCAAGCTTGTTTGCTTGTTAGCAAAACATCTCCTGAACCACTGGATGAATATTAATGAAAGTCTCAGAAAGTTATCATCAGATTAATTTCTACAACAATATTTGGAGTCGATCCAGTTGAAGATGTTTGCTGTTAATTGATTTTAGACTTAGACTTATCTTTTTAAAGACACAGCAGTGAATTTGGCAAAAAAAAAAAAAAGTCATTTTTTGGAAACAGTCAGAATTAAGCAGCACTAATCTAAAAATTAGTTCCACTATCCCTAAATCACTAACTCAAATATTTAGGTCCCCTAATTCTAAAGCACTAATGCACTGAAAGTTTTAGCAAAAGCTAATTTTAAAGCACTAAAATAACCCAGTCAACCCATGAACTTTCTTCAACAGACAACATGAGTCACATGTTGTCATGTTGCTCTATTAAAACTTATCATTGACATTCCACAGCTGT